TTACGATTTTTAGACTTCACAACGGCACAAATGCAGCGCATATTCACCAGAAACCACACTTTAAATTTTGATCCTTTTCCCAGGACAGCACCATGCCAAACAATGTTTTCAGACAGTGGCCAGACATAGACCAAGTGTTGGGAGTCTGTGTAAGGTAGGTGAGGCCAGGCCATGATTCAGCAGGTTAGATGTGCTGAGTGCAGTTTTGATTTGCGATATCCTCAGTTTACTCTGGGTTTATTGGGACAGCTCCGTCATAAACCAGGGGGCATCTAGTAAACTATTTGGAATGAGATCAAATGTGAAGGTCGAAAGTAGAGAATTAATGATGAAAATGCAGATACTATCTTTATGACTTTGGGATAGGAAAGGCTTTCTTAATCAAGAGCCTAAAATGTAAACTCCAAAGAAAGAAGTTCATGGCTCAGCTCAAGCACAAACTTCAGCACTGGCTCTCAATTGCAAACGCAGTCAAAGTTCATAGTCAAGGGAAGACTTTTGCACAATGATGGATTAAAAAGGAACAAGGCTCATTGAGCAGTTACTATGTTGAAGGCACTGTTGCAAGTACTTTATGATCAGGGATCCACATTCTTCACCACCCCAAGAAGAGAGTGCTACTGTTAACCCAGGGAGAGATGAGGAATTGTGAAGTTAATTAAGTTGCTAAAAGTCTCACTGCAGGCAAAGGAGACAGCTGACACTGAAACCCTAACAACCCCTTGAATTCAGTCTCTCCCCCTAACAGACACGCACAGCAGTGGAGAACCTAGGGCACATATCGCCGTGGGCTGTCTGCATCATTGAAAGGTCTAAAAGGTTTGCCACCACTGCTCGATGATTTTTCTTCGGATACCAAGGGGAAGGTGCATGTCGGGAAAGAAAGGGTCCAGGATGGCAAATTCTGCAAAGACGACAAGGAGAGGTGCCTCAACAGAGAACATCATTTCAGAGAAGGGGTAAAGGCGAAAGCACACAGAGAAGGGACCCGCGAGCAAACAAGCTCCATCTTTCAAACTATGGCTCTAGAAAGTCTGAAGACTCATCCTTCTGGAGACTAGCCACTTTACGTGTTTTGCGGTTTACATTTTAAGAACATATTTAAAAAATTCTCTGGATAATGCTGCTGATTAGGAACAACATGTGAGCTGTAAAATTTGTGGTGCTTGCTCTGAAGAACAGACCCGCTACAAATTCAGTGTCTGGCGAGTTACGACCAAAGCCATTCTAAACAAATTGGTTTTCAAACCAGCATCTCCAGTTAATATTTTCCACAACACGCAACCCCTATTCTTGTTTGCAGTAAAGCACTGGAATGAAACCATACTCTGTTCTCCAGCTCACATTATGACCTGCTATAAAAAGAATTAATATTCATAAATCTTTTTTACTGCACTAATCTCTATGTTTTAAAGTGGCGATTACCACCCGACATGGGGGCAGGCCAAAGAGTCAAGGAATCTTCAGAAAGCGTAAGATCGTATTCCCGCATGAGTGTTTGGAGAGGAAGGCATGGTACAAGTTCACAGGTTGAAGTCGGGCAGAAACACGTACATTTTGAGGTTTTTCGTAAGGACTCCAGATACTCAGGGGTAAAAATGTCCTGAACTTTTTTTTTTAATTTTATTTTCTGCAAAGCGTCTGGGAACATAAGCAGGAGGGGTAAGCATGGGTTATGTAACGTGAAACATATCACATGGCCAACATTTTTGAGATTTTCCAGATGGGACCTACAGTTTGAAAAATCTTAGAAATGTCTCTTGTGATGTCCATGCTTTCTGTCATTTTAGCCCCCAGGCTCTGACGGCCAAGAAGCGGACTGGCTCCCATGTCCATCCCCGAAGCTACTGAGGAGTCATGATGCTCCCTGAGGACAGGTGGATGTGAAAACTGTCCGCCAGGAACCTAAATGCACTGGAAACCAACCACACAACAGGCGCCCTCCCCAGTGGGGTCCTTGAGGAGCCAGCAAAGCCTGCTTCAGGACAATCCCTGAAGACAATCCCCAAAGAGCAAGGGAGCTGGAGCATCCAAACACCAGCTCCCCATCACCAGGGCTCAGAAGGCGCTCTGGGAAGCGGTTCATTCCCAGGTGATGGAATACAGGTGCTGGCAAATAGAAGTTAGAGCCCCGTGTCTTGAGTAATGAGGATGGAGCTGAACATTGACAAATTTCTCATCGGCCCTTTCAACAAAAACTTTTAAGTACTGGGTTCCAGGAGTGAGTAGCTGGATCAACACTGCAGGAAGTGCAGTAAAAGCAAGCCCATGCTCTGTGCTACAGAGACCCAGGTCCAAGCTGTCTTTCCAACATGCCCATCCCTCACTTCTCCTCAGTGGACCAGGCTATCCCACAGCTACTAGAGCCTGCTTCGCCTAAAGGCACTAAGACCGAAGAAACTGGGAATTTACAGCCCTTGATACAACCCTAAAACAACCACTTCCCTCTGAGATTTGTCTGCATTGTTTCCGGGTGCCTCCTGGAGGACTCAAGCCAAGGTACTGTTGGTCTGCCTGTCTTGAGATCCTTGCTTAGCTTCCTTCCCTTCCCCCCTTCACTTTTCTGGATCATCTTCCAATAAATCACTTTCATATGAATCCTGGTCTTGGGTTCTGCTTCTGGAGAACCTAGCTCTCTGTACCAGGCACAGGCTAAGCATCATTTCCTTTGATCTCCAGAGCAACTGCATGAGGCCCACAGCATAAAGTGTCTGCATTTTACCGATGATGGAACACAGGCTCAAGCACAATGGGTAACACTGCTATGACACAGCCAGTGCTCCAGCGAGCTAGGATCCAATCAAAGTCTGCTCAAGCTATTGATCGTGATGCTCTGCTCAGATATCTTCACCTGAGTTCCCTCTCTCCAACTTCCTTAAACATAACACAGAGCCTGAGACAGTGAGCTCACTCTGGGGAGCGGTCCCAGGAGGGAGGGAGGAGCCAGGAGCATGCAACAGCGACAGAGGTACGTTCACAGTGGGGCTTGGTGTCATGAAGCCATACTTTTGGAGGAGCCTGGTAGAATGTACCCCAGAACTGTATGCCCAAAGGAGAGAAGAAGGGAATATTTATCCACCAGCTCTAAGCCCTGCTGGTCATAGGTGTTAACTCTGCTCTACTCCCAGGTTCATGAAAGGGATTTGCAGCAACCTCACCCCCACTGCAGAATCCCAGGGCAGCATAGCAGACCTGTCAGGACACCTGCTGTGATTATAACACCAAAAGAATTTGGGGCAGGACACCAGGAGCATCCAGAGTGCACCCTTCTTTCACTGCCTAACACAATCAGTGCCTCTTACTAGAAGCCATATTTGCTGGCCATTCTGTATGCCAGCCCTGGAGTACTTTCCGCACACTAGCGGATCAGGACCTTGTGTGCTCTGGGGCAGCGGCAGTGTGATTCCCATGATGCACTGGTGTACATTGAGTTCCAGAGAGGAGATGTCCTCACCCGTGGTGTGTGGTATGGATTCAGCCTGGCAGTTCTTAGCTCCTGGCCTTGCTGGACATCCCCTGCTGCTCCATGCAGAGGCTGGGCAGCCAGTCTCATGGCTGTGGCAGCCATCCACAGGCTGGGCAGGCCTGCTTCTTATGCAAGGGAATCTCGCCAGAAATTCAGCCAGGGACCGGATGGCGTCTTATAATTTCTGTGTATCCCTTATGCTGCCTAGCACTAAATAAATACTTGCTGACTGATTGAGTCATTCCAGCCTTGCTTCCAAGTTTCCTGGGGCCCCTGCTCTTGGCGGCCTGGCCCCCACCCTGGCCTTTTGGACTACCCCATCTCCACGAGCTCCTGAAGCCCAATTTTGGCAGGAGAGGGAGTGTTGTTTTCAGAGATATGAGCTGGTGACAGAGGGGCTCTCAGGGCGATTGGGCAGTTGAGCTGTGAAAGGATCTTGACATTTCTTGTTCTGAAGACTTCAAACGCAACTTAATTCAAGAAAAACGTGCATAGATAATCTAGTGGAAACACTCTCAGGAGACCACATAATACAGAGGGTAAGGACACGGGCTTCCACCCAGGTGTCCTGGATTCAGACCCTGGCTAAAACTACCCCTTTACTTCTGTGCACATGACACAAGCAGTGCCTCTTACTAGAACCCACACTGACTGGCCATGCTGTATGCCAGCCCTGAGAACTTTCATACACCAGCAGGTCAGGATCTTGCGCACTCCAGGACACTCAGACACTGACCCCCGCAGCATCTTCATCTGTGAGCTGCAACCGTACAACTTCGGGTAGGACTGTTGCACCTAGTGATAAGTGACTCTTAGGTATTAACTGGCATGGTTACTGTTGCTATGTTACCGGTGTGTGTAACCCTACAAGGTCAGTGTGTTACTACCAATCTACTGATGTGCAGCCAAGTTTCAGAGAAGAAAGGTGTTGTATGAACCAGAGTTCAGATTCAAATGGAGGTCAGGCTGTCTCTGAAGTCCCTGCACTTCTGCTACATCCTTTTTTGAGCAGTATTGGGGATTGAACCAGAGCCTCCTGAGCAATACCCTCAGCCCCCTTTTTTTATTTATTTTGACACAAGGTCGTTAAGTTGT